ATATAAAAACACAATATTATAAAAAAAACACACACAATATATATATAAAAAATTAAATATAAAAAATATATATATATAATATATATATATACACAAATATATATATATATAACAAATATATAATATATATCCCCAAAAAATATATTTTAAAAAATATATATATAAAAAATAAAAATACACACAATATATATATATAAAAATATATAAAAAATATACACACACAATATAAAAATATATACACACAATATATAAATATATAAAAATAAAAAAAAAAATATATAAAAACACACAAAAATATATAAAAATATAAAAAATATATATATATAAAAAAATATATATAAAAAATAAAATATAAAATATATATATATATATAAAATATATATATAAAAAATATATATATATATATATATACACTATATATATAAAAATTTACACACACATATATATATATATATACACAATAATAATAAACATATATATACATAAATAATATATATATATTTTTAAGTGCTTTCTTAGTTAAACTGAAAACTTTTCAGTACCTGCTTATAATTATATATATTTCATTTAAAATCATAAACAACTTTACATCTTTATTTTTAGTTTTATATCCCTGAAATTTTATTGAGTTTTCAATTATTAGGATTTGTATTTCTGGTGCAAAACACTGTTTTGTAAATTTAACTTCATTAGGCATTAAACTATTGATATTGCTTATTTGTATATTTTAATTTCTTTTTATTTATGGTTCTTCATACCAAATTAAGTAAAAAAGTTACTTATATTCAAACAAGATATTAAAGATAACATTAGTAAAAATCTATGAATAAACTAAAATCTAATTGCCATTGTTGATATATCAAATTTTTTATTTTTGCATTTACATTTTTTATCAGAAAACAGACAAATAAAATTTGAAAATTAGAACTTATTGGCCTTAAAAATTCAGATTAAAAAAATATTCATTATATATATATATATATATATATATATATATATATATATATATATATATATATATATATATAAAAGAGAGGGAGAGAGGATATGGAGCAAAAGTTCAGTTAAAAGCAGATTTTAAATATTTTTTTTTTCAAAAAAGAAAAATAGTGAAAACTTTTGGGCAAATTAAACACACACTAGAGGGGTGCTGAAAATTTTAAAAATATGACCAAACAGATTTTTTTTCAAAAATGCTTCTTAATGAAAAGTAAAAAACATTTTAGCAGTGTCTCTCATATATATATATATATATATATATATATATATATATATATATAAAGAAAAATTTGGAAAAAACCAAAATCCTTATGTAATTATGTTGTTTAAATTGAATGAAATGTCGACGTCTGATGTTGGGATTAATAAACCTTCTTCAGGACAATATTCATTAAAATACAATTCAGTTCAATTTGACAAAGACGATGGACATAAAAACAAAGTCTTATCCAAAAACAGATAACTGAAAATTTTTAAAATGATCAGCTTTCCGTTTAGATACACGCACACAAACAAAAAAAAAAAAAAAAAAAAAATGAAAGGATGTAGATTAATGTTTTCATTATCAGATTAATAGTGGGTTATCAAACGACAAAATGAAAAACTACTAAGTGACATTTTTTTCTCTACAAATAACTTCATACTTATGTTTCATCAATAGAGTTGTGTGTATATATACAGTGTAACCCGGATATAAGAGAGATTTTTCTGGTCCCAAATTAGAGCCCATACTTACCTAAACAAAATCAAACCCGGATATAAGAGAAACAGATATAAGAGACTTTCTCCGTCCTGACAACTCTCTTATATCCGTTACATTATATATATATATATATATATATATATATATATATAAATAAATAAATATATATATATATATATATATATATATATATATATATATATATATAGTACAGGTAATAAATCCATTGGTATATTATCCAAGTGGATTCTAATAATATAAAATATTAAAACTGATCCACAAAAAGAGCTCAATGTATTATAACAGAACATATAAATCACATAACAGAAATGACATCATGAGTATAGACTATTTCAACTAACATGTAATGTGTCAGCCTTATTCAACTCAAATGGTGGACTGTATTCAGTGTCGAACTAGAGATTTAAAATTTAATAAAGACAGCAGTATGTAATTTATATATATATATATATATAAAAACCTGTTTACTGTTGAAATAGTGAAATGCAACAGACATTTCTATTCCAACAGTTTTTCTCACACTTCCCACCTGTGGAGGAAGTCTTCCGTTTACTTGCTTCCCTGAAAATTACTATCTTCAAAAATTTATATGCAACATCTTCTGCCTTCTTGAATCCCATTCATCTTTTGTCCTTTCATCAATCCTCCTTATACTCAGTCTTCCCTTTCACTCCTTGTCTACTAGTAGTATTCGTACCCTTTGCTTGGGGAGAAATGATTAAAAAATATATAGATATGTTTGTGTCTACCTCACTGTTGTATAATTGTTAAGCTTGACTCAATAGAACAATTACAACTGAGTAGTGAGTTTGATCCTCACTGGGTACTCCATACTTTTGCCCTTGTGGCACATCTAAGCTACACTTAGAAAATATATATATATATATGTGTGTGTGTGTGTGTGAGTGAGTGAGATGTACAACAAATATCAGTTACTACTTTGCATAGAAACCTTTAAAGATATATTACATGCAACATTTTTTTGTTCAATAAGAAATAAAATATATTATTTAGAAATAAAATTTAATTTCTGAACAAAAGCTTTTAAGCAGGAAGCATGTTTAGAACATTGATATTTTTGTGGAGCTGGATTTAGAAAAATTGTTAACTTAAAAAAAAAAAAAGTGTACATATTTGTGTTTTTTTTTTTTACCTACCTCCATTGAATTTGCACCTGGCTGTGGTCTCTCCATTCTTGGAGCATCCTCTAGAGTCACGTAATCAATAATGGGAGGAGTAGATGAAAGAATCTCTCCCTTTGGCTCTGAAGGCTCTGGAATGTCAATAGTTTTACTGTGTCTAGAATTGTCACAGGTACCGTTGAGCTTTTCTTCTTCGTTTGCTTCTCGTCTGCATTCCACACCCACTAGTACTTCCCCTTTCACTGACTGAGCCTCTCTTATTTGTAGATTATGTGGCTCCTCCTCTCTTCCTGACTCCCCCTTCCTCTTTACTATGGCATCCAACTCTTTTTTACTAGCTTCCCTCTCCTTTTCCACTGCTAAATCCTCATCTTTTCTCTTCTTTGTTTCCTCTTCATCATTCACAGTTGTTTCTGCCTTTTCTGCTCTATTCATTTTTGTCTCTATGGCCTTTTTGTTTGTTTCTTTCTTTTGGCTTTTTTCACTCTTCTCTTTTGCTACTTGTTCAGCTATTTTCTTTGTCTCCCCCTCTTTGCTTCTCCTTCCTGCCTCGTCGTCATTCTTTTTTGCTGCTGTAGATTCTCCTGTTCTCACCTCCTCCTTTTTCTTTACTACTGCTTCTTCCTCCACCTTTCTCTTTGCTGCATCTTTCTCCTTTTCCTTTGTTGCTACTGCTTCTTTTCTCCTCATTTCCATCTCCTCCCTTCTTCTCGCTGCTTCTTCTTCCTCTTTCTTTCTCCTTGCCAATTCTTCCTCCTCTTTCTTTCTCCTTGCCAATTCTTCCTCCTCTTTCTTTCTCCTTGCCAATTCTTCCTCCTCTTTCTTTCTCCTTGCCAATTCTTCCTCCTCTTTCTTTCTCCTTGCCAATTCTTCCTCCTCTTTCTTTCTCCTTGCCAATTCTTCCTCCTCTTTCTTTCTCCTTGCCAATTCTTCCTCTTTTCTCTCCTTGCCAATTTCTTCCTCCTCTTTCTTTCTCCTTGCCAATTCTTCCTCCTCTTTCTTTCTCCTTGCCAATTCTTCCTCCTCTTTCTTTCTCCTTGCCAATTCTTCCTCCTCTTTCTTTCTTCTCGCTGCCAATTCTTCCTCCTCTTTCTTCCTCTTTGCTTCCTCCTCCTTTCTCCTTGCTGCTTCTTCCTCTTTCTTTCTTCTTGCCACCTCTTCTTTCTTTCTCCTTGCCTTCTCTTCCTCCTCCTTTCTTCTTGCTGCCTCTTCCTCCTCTTTTTTTCTTGCTGCCTCTTCCTCCTCTTTTTTTCTTGCTGCCTCTTCTTCCTCCTTTCTTCTTGCTGCCTCTTCCTCCTCCTTTCTTCTTGCTGCCTCTTCCTCCTTTTTCTTTCTCCTCACTGTCTCTTCCATTCTCTTTCTTTCTTCTCTTTTCACAGCCTCTTTTAATTGCTCTTTTTTCTTTGTTTCTTCTTGCTCTCTTTCTTTCTTCAATTTTTCTTCTTCTGTTTTCTTATTTTCTTCTTTTTTCTTTTCAGTCTCAGCTTTGCTTTGTTTGGTTTCCTCTCTATTTTCCATTTCCTCTTTCTTTTTTTCTTCTTCCTTTTTCCTTTGATCCTCCTGTCTCTTTGCCTTTTTCTCTTCCAACTCGTCCGTGTTTTTTTCTTCTCTTGCTACCTTCTTTTCAGTTGTGCTTAATGCCGTAAATGGAGTGCAGCTAACACATTGTTCTCCTTTTACTGACGTTTTGTAGCTCTGGAAACTTTTTTCTTTAAGGTTACATTTTTTGTCAGATACTTTATTTCCTTGTTGTTCATTACCAGCATCCGACTTGAGATCTAAAATTTTGGAACTGTTTGCATAAGTGTTTCCATCAGCGTCTGGGTCGCCCTGCTTTTGACTACTGAAAAGCACCACTGGATCAACTGCACTCTCAAGATGAGGTCCTGTGATGGGAGATACTCCCCAAGGATGGGGATTATCTTGTGTCTCAAGGCTGTCACAATTTATGTCAAGGCTTTTGCGTTCCATATTCTTTTTTTCAAGACGCCAGTTTTCAACATGAGTAATAATAATAATAATAATAGTAATAATATTATATTAATATGAATTATTGTTGATGACAGATTTATTGTGATGGTTGGTAAGACTCGTTGAACAGATTAACTTTGGAAGTTCAAAATTATCATAGAGGCCTTTTTTTCATTTTACTATTAACTTATAGTAAAAAAAATATTTAAAAAAAAATATCTATTTTGCAGATGTTCAGATATATAAAAATTTATTTGGTGTTTAGTTCGAGGTGATTATATAAGAAATAGACAGGTTAATTGCTCAGGGAAGAGGTGATTGTATTTTGTGTTTTTTTTGTTTTTTTTTTCTTAATTTCCTTTGACTTATTTAAACTTTCTCCTCTTCACACAGAAATTTATCCTTTCTTTTTCTTTGCTTTTTCTTCCCCTTACTTTTCTTATTAAACTTCTTCCTCCTGTCACTTTTCACTTTCCTTCTGCTTCGCTTCAATTAAACTACTGTTGCTAATCAGCTGCCATAATTAAGCTTGCAAAATTTTTAAATCATTGTAGTCCAAATTGGTAGAGAAGTTGCAGAAGAGGAAAAAAATTTTTTTAAAATTATTTTTTAATACTGTTTTGGCTATAGTTGTTTGAAGTAAAATCCACTTTATAATTTTTTTTTTCACTGTGAGTTAATAATAAAAATACAACAGAGATCTTTCCATTGCAGATATCTGGTTAATATGAAAAAGAGTTCTTGAACATATAGAGTTCTTGATGCTTTATGGCAACACATGAAAAGGTAACTTCGTAAAAGCTATTTTTTTTTCTTACTTTAATTTTTCTTGTTTACATTTCTTTTTCTTCACTATTACATAAAAATATTCCCCCCCCTGTAATTAGACTTAATGAATACAACTATTCATTTCTCTCTCACTATGTCTCTCCCACTCTCCCCATTTTATCTCTTTTTACATAAAGAGATTAAGAGAGTCACAAAAGGGGAGGAGATCAAATAAAGGGAGGGTGAAAAGATTATATATATATATATATATATATATATAAAAACAGATGTTGTTAATCTCTCCATGACCTGCATTAGCAAAGGATTTTATCCTCTCTTATTCAAGGTAACATTTATTTAAGCAAATCCAATTATTAAACTGGAACGTGTTAATCTGTCATGAATTACTTCCCCTCACACAAAGCTTCCATTAAAGAAAGTAATAAAATAAAATTAACAGTTTAGTGAGAGAAGTAAAACCAGTTTTTAACTTTCAATTCCTTCTTTTCTTTCTGCATAGGCATAATTCTGAAGACATGTTTGTGTAGATCTATGTACATCAGTATTCAATTGCCCAGCCCAAGGGCACTTAAGTATAGTGAAAGGTTCAGGAGACTAATACTTTATTACTAATAACTATAATGTATACTTATATCTATAAACTTATATGATGAAATATGTGTGTAATGTATAGTCTTGTTTCTCAAACAATTCAAGAATTTTCTGCATATAATCCTCTGCACACACTAGAAATCATTTTACTGTTTTGTGGTGTTGGGGGGGGGGGGATTTTGAACCTTGCCTCGAAATTGGATTAATAAAAATGAAAATAAAAAATTTCAAATTTAGATTTAGCTTCAGTCAGTTATACACACTTAGGCGATCATGTATCTTTCGATACGTGACTGACAGGCCAGATTTTTTTCCCACAGAAGGTTGCTATTTCTTTCTGCAGTAGACCAGTTGCCATCCAAGGCTACAGAGCCCGGTCTGTCCTAGGAGGAGGAGGAGGAGAAGAGGATTCATACCTTTCCCAAGGGTATTAGCACCTAAGTGAATGTAAATGGATCTGACTGGAATTCAAACTTGGCTCTCGGATTCCTCAATCCAAGCTGCTATCCATTACTCTACCGTGCTTCTTAGATTTAGTTTACAGAGTTAATATTTTTTATTTAAAGAATAAAAAGGGAAAGAAAATTAAAAATATTTTTGATGACTAAAGTAAAAAAGAAAAATATACCCCCCACCCAAAAAAAAACAAAAATAACCACCACTCCAAATCGATATTATGTACAAAATAACAGCCATTTGTCTTAACACATACTTGAACACTAAAGATGATCACTAAAGACTGTGAAAGAACAAAGAAAACAGTGCACCATGAAGAAGCTAAATTCAGAAGAGAGCTCGATATATGTGTGGTTGGAGAACTGAAGGAAAAAGCAAAAAAGAAAAATTGTTTTATAGTCAAGTGTGGATTTTCTGTGGTGGATGAATGGTAAGATCATGAGAGATAAAAGAAGAGGAAAGAAGATGAGTGTTATTGTTGCCAAAGTAAACATCAAAAAAACCATGAGAAAGACAGTGAAATTGATTCTCTCACAAGTGAGCACAAACAACACTACCATAAAACAAAATACTTGATCACTGGCTCATTTTCCACTATGCTTGAAGAACAAAACTGAAGCCCAGAAATAGTTAAAAAGTAGAAAGGAAAGATTTGTAAACAAGCAGTACCCAAAAGTCAATTATAAATGATGTAGATGAAGCCCAAATAAATTAATGGCTATTGTTACAGAATGCAAATGCCAAGGCCAAAATGGTCAGCAATTGGCCAGAGTGACTCCTGGGCAGGGCATTCTGACTGTGATGGATTGCTTTTGTCTGGGTTTTGAGTATAAATCCAAAATGGTGTGTATTCATTAAAGGGCTGCAAGAATTTTAAAGTGTCAATAAATCTCCTACATCCAGGTTGGCGACTGGCTAAGACCACCTGTGAATGGACGCTGAGCCAATGTGCAACATGTGTTCCTGCAATGTAATTCTTCCCATTGTTTCTTAGAATCTTTGCTGCCACAACTCTTTCCTAATAAGATGAATAACAAAAAGAAATGATCCTTTTCATTGATACCATGTAGTAGCATGGGAACCCAGAGACGACACAGAAACCAGCACTAAGAAAAGCAGGCCTAAAATATCAGGCTGAATGATTCATTATTGCTGCTGAAGACCAGTGTCTAGAGAAGACCTTGAAAAAAAAAAAAAAAAAAAACACACACACACCAACCAATGTACAGGATATGCAACAAACAAGCAACAATCTCTGGTTGCTTAGAATTGGCCAAAATAGAAGACATGCAAAGGCACAACAAAACAAAAGCACATACCTCCACTGATATATCTGAAAGAAATGGAACTTTAAGATCATAGAGCAAATACAAGCCAGCAACCAAAAACGATGAAGCTATTATTCTTCGGGAATCCAAACTGATAAAGAAATTAAAGACAACAGACCTGATATACGAAGGAAAGATAATAAAATAAATTATTTGCTCATTGACATCTGTCCCCACCAAAAGAAACACACCTGAAAACTATAGAAAAAACTCCCCAAATATAAATATCTAGAAAAAAAATTGAAAGAATGAAGACCGCAATAATATTGGTGGTAATAGTTGCTCATAGTCTCATCAACAAAGTTGGTTGTTTTTGTTTAGTGGCATATCAACACTTCTATGGGTTATTTAATGCTGAAGTCTAAATATTTTGTATGCAACTTTATTTTATTTTCAGAGATAATGTTTTAGAGATACGAATCTTACTAATTAAGCCATAGTTAGGGGGAGAAGAGGGTACTTGCATGCAAGTGAATATAACAAACCTAACCAGAATTGGAACTCAGCTTCCCAATTAACAATTCTGAGCCATTATCTATTATACCACTAGAAAATCCAAGCTTACAGAACCTGGTATTCCTAAGCAATCACCCATCTAGGTAATGACCAGGCTCAATGTTGCTTAATTTCAATGATTGTACAGGAAATGGTGTTTCAACATGATGTGGACATAAACCTGGTCAAAAAAGACACGGGAAAATAGACCAATAAAATTCATAGTAACATCAAGATGCAAGAAATCCAAAAGATTGCTCTTTTCAGCACTGCTCATATATTATGGAAGACTATTTATCAAATAAATCCATGACACCCTCATGGTAACCCCAAGTCTAAGGGATGGATTTGTTTCCATGAGTAAATGAAGCAGAATAAAAAAAAAAATAAAAATAAAAATAATTCTGAACAATAATCATAATAAATGCACTGATGGTACACCGAACATAGTTTTCGTGGTTTCTGATCTTGACCTTGGAGGTATTCACATGTAAATATTTGACTTTAGTGAAATAAAATGGACAATAGTAAATATCCTGTTCTATACCACAGATTGGCTTGTCAGTTGCCTGACCATAACCAATTGGGTATGTCCCCTAAGACATTGTAGATCTCTGTTCATAAGCAGTGGGAATGGGGAAGCATCAAGACCATGTCTTTTGTTAAGTTTGAAGGATGAGGCAGCCAAAGCATCTTCATGCAGGGATACAAAAGGCAAATTATCTCCCTTTCACTGAGATAATGTCATGAAAGTTGTATGACGGTTGGTGAGTTACGTCAAAGGATAGAATAATGGCAGTTGCAATGTAAAACTGATCAGACGGATGTCCCTAGTCTACAGTGGTGGGTCTTACAGGAAAAACCACATGGGCTTACCAGTTTCATAGAAAAACCACTGTAACCCCAGATTTCCCTTCTGGAAATA